ATGTCTGAAAATGGCTTAAACTATTCTCTTCAGAGAATCTTGTGTATAAATAGATACTAAATATATATGCATAAAAGATAGATTGATATTTGTTCATTAAAAGCAGAAAATGAATGTTTGAACAGAGGAAATGACTACTTTGGTTGCCTAGGCTAAAGGAAATAACTTACTGGACAAAATACAAAATTACCTGTAGAGACTACGTGTACTTTGAATGACAGTTGTACTTTCTTTAAAAAAAAGGGGGGGATGGGTTGTGCCTTTTTTTTTAATGTATATCTCTGGTATTCCTATGATTTAGCATAACCTAAACATTTTGAAGCATGTTGAAATATATTGACTCAAACTTGAACTTCTTATAAGTAATTTTTAATTGGCTATTGTCTGTATAAGCATCTACATTTTATAGGTCTCATCTTGTTTTCTATCCAAATCCTTCATGGCATAAACTGGTAATGATTACAAGAAAATAAAACTTTCGGCTGCTGAGTCAATACATTTTTGCCTTCCTTCAGCCAATGGTTCCTACCTTCTCTGTCCTTCCAGAAGATAATAGGCAAGGCTCTACAGGGTGTAAAAGTCATTGTGGGAGTGGAGAGATTTGGGAGAGTCGGAGATGCTGCATTCATGAAACTACTTGACAAACTAGGCAAGGTGGTGCCCGAAACTTGACAATCCTTGCTGAGGAAAGGGTTTGTTGTAGAGCTGGGAATCAATTTAGGCACTCTGATGGCTGGACAAAAGATTGGTCTTTTATAACTCAAGATCAGTTGCCCTCACTTGAGAAACATTGTACAATTATATTGAGAGAAAATTCAACTTCTCTAATTGTTTCTAATTCTGTTCCCTTTTAGTGGATATCTTCATTTACTCTTGTGAGGTATTTGAGTGATGCACAAAGAATCAGTGCTGTGGGCGGAGCAATTATGTTATCAGCACTGAACAGATGAAAAAATGGAATAAGCCTATGGGGATGAAAAGAATTGAACTGGCTATCTTCTTTCTGTGGTTTTCCTGTTGTTGAGGATTCTCCTCAGTAATCCAATAGGTGAGCAACAGGAATTGTGAATATAGGTACAACCTAGGATTGACAATATAACCTGCTTTGAATAAAAACATGAAACTGTACAAGGAATTAACTGTTTAACATTTCATGTTAATCAGATGACATGTCTACATTTAATAGGTAAAGTAGCAACTGAGAAAACTGAGAAGCTGAATTAACTTGTGTACTTTCACAGATTTTCTGACATTAAGGGTAGTTACACTGGACCTAATCTCTCTTTGGCTTGACGTCTTTGATTTTTCTGAAGTGTTTCTCAAGAGTAAAAGCTTTCTTTTTGCTTTCTTGATGTGATGTATTAACACACAACTTTCTTTTCTTGTAGGGTGCTTCGAGTGTTGCATCAAATGCCTGGGAGGTATTCCTTACGCATCTTTGATTGCTACCATCCTGCTGTATGCTGGAGTCGCACTGTTTTGTGGTTGTGGACATGAAGCACTTTCAGGAACAGTCAACATTCTGCAAACTTACTTTGAGATGACAAGAGCTGCAGGAGATGTTATTGATGTCTTTACCATGTAAGTTACTGCTTTCTTTTCATTGTTTAAAAGTTGTGCAGAACCCTGAGACTTGAAATGTCAAAATACTATTGCCTCTGGTTTTCCTATAATTCATCTGTTTTGAAGGTTTCATGCTTTACTACTCCTGAAAACCTGTTTCTGGAAAGCTTTTCTTTTACTGAGCATCTCCTTCCCTTTGGTAAATTAATTACACTTAACAAAGTAGTTTACTGTAACCTGGAATTATTGTCTCTTTAAAACATGATTTTCTTAGGTTATTTGAAATCCAAATTCTCATCTGGCTGCTAATGGTCATAACTAAAGCTCTAGAATCCTATCCTTAAATCTATAAGCTTTTTCTTTCATGAATGTTTTTCGGAGAAGTGAAGCGATTTGATCATCCTTCAAAACATTGACCTCTTATGATGGATAGTTCCGTGATAATGGCAGCTCAGTGCTTAGCAGTGGTCGAAAAGCAATCCAAGTACCAAGAACTACTGGGAAAATCAGAGAGAAACAGAGAACATCCTTATGATGTTGTATAAATTCCTCTTTCATACATATCATTAATACTGTGTAAAATATTAGTGCCCCAAAGAAGGCAAAAAAAGGATGATTTGAGTTATAGAACAGAGCCTATATGTTTAAAAATTGAGTATAGTAGGACACTTCAATCTAGAAAGAGGGTGATTAAGAGGTGTTGGGCTAGGGGTCTATAAATTCACAATGTAATGAATAAGGTGCCCAAGGTTAGGTTGTCTTTCTCTGCCCGTACAAGTTTGAGGTATCAGAGGAAACTAGTAGGCATGAGGTTCAGAAGGAATGAGTGATGGTTCTTCAATTGTTGTGTAGCAGACTTGTGAAGCTAGTTGCATACTGTGGATACCAAAACCTTATATGGGTTCAAAGGAAGACTGGTTAATCTTGAAAGACAGATCCTTTGATGGTTTCTAATGACATACAGACTTATCCAGTGCAGGAAGTCCCAGAGGCTAGCATAGTGTAGGGGGTTTTCCTGTCGACTTGCTTGCTCTTACTTTTTTTTTTTTCATTGTTTGAGATAGGAAAATGCACAAGATATATATTTGATCCGACTTGGTAACATTTTTTTCATGATAGCTAGAAACAAAATCTTAAATCTCTTAACTTGTGTAGTGCTACATTATCAACATCTTTTCCAAAGCTTGTCTGTGAATGTTAGCTTATTTTTTGTGGAATTAGTAGCCAGAAGGGAGAACGTACCTAATAAGTATGTCACTGCTGTGCAATATCCAAACTTAGGACCAAGGAATTTAGATGTTCTTGTATAATAATATATTGGGTTATGGGAAGTATGTGACTTCTGCTTTGCCTTATTTGGCTTGGCATTTAGAATAATGGGTCTGACTTGACTTGGCGGCTAAGGTTCATTGTTATCCTGAATGAAAGATCAGTCATTTTATTAGGCTCTAACTTATTTTATTAGTCCCTAGGAAGCCGTTAGTGCAGAACAGCCACAAATCGATGCTTTCTCTTCATAGCAAGTTTTCCAGCTTCCCTCTGTCAAATACTTCAGTGAAAATATCAGTCAGGAGTCGTAATTCAAATACACATAGTTCACTGGAAATGATTAAGGAACTGTAAAGGTCATTTTTTTTTCTTGGCATAAAATTTTTTGGCTTAGCTAGTAGCTTTTGGATTTATTTGTTTTCTTTGTTTACTTAAAGATATACTCAACCAAATTCTTTCCTTGGCAGACCTACTGGAATCGAAAATTCGGTTTATTCAGTTGTGAAAGATGTCTCTAAAGTTGTATCTTAAAGAGAGGAGGAGCAAACATTTTGACTGAAAGCAGACAAGCCATTACTTTTAACTGGATAAACTGTGTGGTTCTCAAACAAATTTGCACATGTTAATTTTCTACCTGCTTAAGTACATATTACTCTACTTTTTAAAATAATATTGTAGGGAGAATAAATGCTTGATATTTTGTCACAACTATTGATTAACAGTTGACTGTACAAAAGCCCTATGGTAATCATGTTGCTCTGGAAGACCAAAAAGCAGAAATAAAACATATGTAAGTAGAAACAAACAGCGCAGTGCCTACATTCTTAAAACTATATGTACTGAAATGGTTGTTTATTGTTCTGATTAGACATAATAAGAATTAAATATATATATATAGCAGTGTGCCCTACTAAATTATTTTTTTTTTAAGGCTATTTAAGATGTTTTGGCTCTTAGTGCTTCTAGTGCTGTGAAGTGTCTCAGGCTGACCTGGAGTCCATCCTTCTGTAATAAATGTACTAGGCGGGTGCTGCAGTGGAGTGAAGTGTGTTAGATTCTCTTTAATCACGCTTATGGTTTCTGTCTATATTTTTATTGGCACAATGGATTTCAAATGTCATTCAGAATAAAAATCAATCCCTATCTAAGAGCTGCTTATGTGAGTGGTAAGAGATAAGGGCTTTTTTACCTGTACCTACAACTGTGTGTGTTCTGAACTCAAATAACACAACTCACAAGCCACTCTTTATCTTTTATCTTTGTCAATACAGCTACTCACTGGAATTTAAGAGAAGCAGCAGACCCCTGTAGAGAAAGCAAGGCATATTTAAGTGCCTAAAATAACGGCCAAAGTACCTAAATCCAACAATACCATTCAGAAATGTCTATATCGATGTTCCTGAGGGCACCAACAGCCCTGACTGTCTCTGCCTGGCCTCCCTTGGGGCCTCCCCTCAACCTGCCCGTGGTCCAGGACCCCATTTCAGCCTAGCCTGGGCTCTCAGTCCCTCATCATGGACTGAGCCAGACATGGGACTGGGGCTGCCTTGGCTGGCCCCGCCGACCCCTGGCACCTGCTCCCTGGCTGGGGTGCTGGGATGGGCCCTGGCTGCGCCCCATGGGGAGCCCTTGTCCCACATGGCGCACTGACACCTGAGGAGAGATGAATTAAGTAAAAATCTGCAGTAGGTCTCAAAGTCTCCTTGGAGGGCTCTGCCCATGGGAATTCAGCCAAGAGCAGCAGCCCCATGGGATGGAAGAGGGATTCTCAGTGCTGGCCCTGCAGAGTGGATGTGGTCCCTGATTCCAGCTCCCCAGACTCTTATTTGAGTTTAAATGATCTATACCAGCTGCAGTTCATATCTGCTTTGGAAATACTAATAAGTAGTAAATATTTATAATTTGAAAATGACTAGCAAGTTTTGCACCTGGTTTTAAAATTCCTTAAATGCCAGGCAGTTAAAATAATTTTCTCACATTTATTATTTTCTTTACAAATTATAATATGGAGTGATCATGGCCAATAATTCTGAGTTATTGAAGACATCCTGGAGAGATGCTGAGTGGGGTTGAGATAGTGCTTTTATAGCAAAGGTTTACAGAAAAGAATGTTCTTTTGCTTGCTTGTTTTGAGAGTGAAAATAACAAACCCATATTAGGTCTCTAATAGGGTGCTAAACCCAATAGTTTCTAAAAAGTAACAATGATATTTTTTAAAAGGATTTTGTCTCAAAATACTATTTTACAGCCTGACCTGAATTTCTTCGGATTGATGCAGTTAAAACAGATACTCCAAACTCCTGAAAACTAAAATAAATCAAATGTATTCAAATTCATGAACACACATACTATACAGACAGGTATTCCTTATGGAGAGAGCATATCTTCAAAAATCACAAAACTGACTGAGGTAGACTGTTCTCTCTTTACACAGGTATTTCTAAATCCATGAACCTTTAATAAATTGGATGATTATAAAAAATATTTGGAATTATCAATGAGTGACATTTTCTTTGGAACTAACTATTAATTATATTGCTTTCTGAATCACTTTTGTGAAACTTCATTCTTCCTAGCACCAGACCTCTTCACCAGCAACATTATCGCTCCTCTAATGGTAGCTGCATTTTCTTTTCCCCCAAGTGAAGAACTTTGGGGATTTAATGTATAGAAGTCACAAGCTGTTGTTTAAGATATAGATTCCTTCACTGGATGTAGAGTGGTTATTTTTGTTCCTTGTAATTCAAAGTGATCCTAAGAAAATATTTTTTTTTTTAATTTTCCTGGAAACTGTCTTTATCATATTTTAACTGCAAGAGGTGAATGGTTTATGTTGCCCACTTTCTCAGTTTAACTGTTCTGTAGGCTTCACTGAAACTAAGTAATCTGTTTGAGGTAAATGTGGTATTCAGTCATTCTTCCAATAACTTAATAAACTGCAGTGAACACTATACCTGCAAAGTACTGTGTATAACTAGATTTGCTTACTTAATCACTGATTTTGGCAAGATTCCAAAGTCAG